CACACACACACACACACACACACACACACACACACACATATATATATATATATATATATATATATTCAATTCTACATTAATAATTAATATTTTATATTTAGTCATGCTGATATCAATGTAGAATTGTAAAAAAATGTATACATGAATGTATACTTCATCTGTTTGGTTGATCAATATATATATATATATATATATATATACACAATTCAATTTATTTATGCTTGTGAAAAGATTCACTTAAATGATCCACATCTTATGACAGATTTCATTGCTGCTTATATCATGAAATGATGTAGAGAGTTGTAACTACAGTTTAAACTACTGTGATAACTAGTTCTTTTTGTGCTTAACACTCAAATGGTTATAATGACTAAAAGTACAAGAATACAAACATTTTTAACAGGACATCACACTTAAAATGTGCTCTATAATGCCTGTCAAAGATTTAGAGAGTCAAACAACTATTATCTCTCACGTGCCAATGCTTGAGCAAGACTACTGTACATTACTCATGTTTCTGTCATGGCATTCACGTGCAACATCAGTTTCTTCACATGGGTGAAGACATTTAAACAATGCTGTCACACTCATTAAACAAACACATGAAGACATTACCTTTTTAAAACACCCTGATGATGTTTACAATACGTTTAGACATTAAGGTTGGAGTTATTTTAATTTAATAAAACTAAACTCAGAAATTTACATTTTTAGCAATGAACACACATTAACCAAGATTTTTTTCATAAATGAAAATTTAAACTCTAAATAATAATAAAAATAAACTAAAATAAAAACTAAAGTAAAAATAAGTTAAACAAATCTTGAACTAAACTAAAATAAAAATAATTATTTTTTAGTTCTCATTTTTCATATATTCTAGGATTTGAAACCTACATGAAGATGCCACTAGTAACACTGTAGATGGCGCTGTGAAAACACTGGAAGAAAGAGACACTACAGACACCTGAGATTCTTTCTAAATCATTTACAACCTTGACAGTGAATGAAGAATTAAGTTCACAATAACGTGTATTTCAACAGATCTTCAACAGATCTCTGGAGCTGTGTGAAGTTCCCTGCTGCTTCAAACGCACCACAATCATTCCGGTCCCCAAAAACACCCAAAATCACAGGACTTAATGATTACAGACCTGTCACTCTCACGTATGTGGTAATGAAGTCATTTGAGAGACTGGTCCTGGCCTACCCGAAGGACATCACTGGACCCTTGCTGGATCCTCTCTCGTCTGTGGATGATGCAGTCAACATGGGACTGCATTACATCCTGCAACACCTTGACAGACCTGGGAATTATGCAGGGATTTTATTTGTGGACTTCAGTTCGGCCTTCAATACCATCATGCCTGACCTTCTCTCAGACAAACTCACCCAGCTTTCCGTGCCCACCTCCATCTGTCAGTGGATCACCAGCTTCCTGACAGACAGGCAGCAGCTAGTGAGGCTGGGCAAACTCACATCTAGGACTCTCACGATCAGCACTGGTGCCCCTCAGGGATGTGTACTCTCCCCACTGCTCTTCTCCCTCTACACCAACGACTGCACCTCTAAAGACACCTCTGTCAAGCTCCTGAAGTTTGCAGATGACACCACACTCATCGGCCTCATTCAGGACGGTGACGAGTCTGCTTACAGACAGGAGGTTAAAGAGCTGGCTGTCTGGTGCAGTCTCAACAATCTGGAGCTCAACACGCTCAAAACAGTGAAGATGATAGTGGACTTCAGGAGAAACCCCCCCAGCGCTCCCCCCACTCCCCATCATGAACAGCACTGTGGCTGCAGTGGAGTCATTCAGGTTCCTGGGCACCACCATCTCTCAGGACCTGAAGTGAGACACTCACATAGACTCCATTGTTAAAAAGGCCCAGCAGAGGTTGTACTTCCTTCGCCAGCTGAGGAAGTTCAACCTGTCACAGGAGCTGCTGATACAGTGCTACTCGGCCATCATTGAGTCTGTCCTGTGTTCATCCATATCTGTCTGGTTTGGTTCAGCTACCAAATCTGACCTCAGAAGACTACAACGGACAGTCAGGACTGCAGAGAGGATCATTGCTGCTCCCCTGCCCAACCTCCAAGATCATTACACCTCTAGAGTGAGGAAAAGGCCTCAGAAAATCACTCTGGACCCCACACACACACCCAGCCCACTCTCTCTCTGTACTGTTGCCCTCTGGCTGGCGCTACACAGCACCGAGCACCAGAACAGCCAGGCACCAGGCCATATCCCACCTGAACACCACATTACACACCTCGGGACTGTACATCTGTAAATAACTTATCAAAACTTTTTCATCTGTAAATAGCACATATGCACACTCATAATTCTGTCTATTGATTTTTTTTCTCTATATTTCATTACATTTTATTTATTGTCTATTCTCTTTATTATTAGAATGTCTGCACTATGTCTGTACTTTCTGCACTGGAAGCTCCTGACACTAAAACATATTCCTTTTTTGTTGAAATTATTGGCAGATCTGAAGGCAACTGGTTTAACGGAATCAGAATCAGAATGAGCTTTATTGCCAGGTATGTTTACACATACGAGGAATTTGTTTTAGTGACAGGAGCTTCCAGTGCAACAGAATGACAGTGACAAGACAGGACATCGATAATAAAAAGAATAATATACAAATATAAAAAAAAGACAATGTACAAAATAGCAAAAACAATATATAATATAGACAATTATGTATGTAATTAATGGCAGCATCATTTCAAGGACGTTATGACATTTTAAATAAAGATTAAGTCAAAAACATTTTATTTAAAAAAAAAAATTGAATGAATTGCTCACATTAAGACCAGTAACGTGCATTGAGAAAAAAATAAGGTAATTTGTTTTCAACCTGATTTTAAAGCTGATTTAATTACCTTAATAACTGCAAAGATACATTTTAAACTTTTCAACTGTTTAAAATTTCTGAACTTAATGAGAACTTAAACAAAAAAACTGAAAAAAAAAACTAAAATTAATTAAAAACTATAATAATTATAGTTTTAAGTAAAATCACACAATTATAATACTTTTTCAGACCAGGGTTGGGCTCTCTTACCTTATCTGACAGGCTAAACACTCGCACCTCTGCATACTCCATTTTCAGAATGGTGTTTTCAATCAGAAACTTGCTGCACAGGTCACTGTAGTAGGAAGAGCGCATCGGGTCCACTTCCTGTCAGAGACAGAGAGAAAGAGAAAAAGAACAATTATTCTGCCTTCTTTTAAGTGGTGTTTACAGAGCCAAGCATTACCATTACTACTGCTCGTACTGAGAGGTTAGTGATTTCAACAGTGCTCAACTGGCATCGTGTAATTCATCACAAGACATGAATGGCACATTATTAGAGTATAACTCAAGTCCTGAGATTTTAAAAAGCATTTCTTATTTCCAGAACCCTAATATTGAGCTCTACTATGTGTATGATCTGACTGTTATTTCCTGCTGCCAGAGCCTCTCTAATTGTTGAGGTTGTGACCGTAGGTTCTCACTTTAAGGGTTTGAAAATGTGCCAGAGTCTCTTTCTCATGGCCTAGAGGATCCAGAGCTCTCATGAGGAGTATGATTGTCAGCAGACACCCTGAAACACACACACATACACAGATTTACAACAGTTTCTTTTGTCAAAGATAAAGCGGCAAATACAAATGCAATGTGAAGTATGCATGTACAAAAGACACACCCATATAAAAACACACTGACACACACTTACATTTGTTCTGCGGTTCGAGCTCTAGCAGCTGATTGCAGGACTGAAGCTCTGCCTGTAACACTGAACTCTTCTCAACCGACAGCTCACTCCTGCCACACACACACACACACAATATAAGAAGTCAGTTATTCGCACAGAACTTAGATAATGTATGTACAAAATGTATGAGATATATGGGGTAGTTTGTAATCAAAATTATATTTGATTAAATGTCCTTATCTTTTTTTTTTATGTTCACCGTTGACATTATAATATGTGGCAAACCTGAATCTGTAAAATGACGGGGGAAGGACACCACCCTGACAGCCGTTTACAGAGCACCGGGCTGAGATTTCTCAGGACACCTATTTCAGCGATATCTGTCATATAGTACTGAGGTTATTTGTGCCATTTCAAAAACTAATCACCTACAGTAACTAATTATCAGAGTTCAACAAAAATGTCATTCATGAGTAAACATGAATGTGGACAATGGAGCAGTGCAGCAGCAAAAACATATCAGTTACACCTGTCAGATAAAGTCCATAAAGTGGGGGAAATGTTTTATATTTTGCAGTCCCGAGTTTGGTTTTCCGGTGTCTTGAGAAAAAACAGTATGTTTTAGTGTTTAATTAAAACTTTATGACATTCCAAAGCATTTATGCGTAGACAGATAGGACAGGAGGCCGTCTTTGCAATGCCTTAATGTACCAAAATAAATTTGATATGTTTTAATGTTAAATTTTAATATTTAATGTACTGTTTGCATAAAATATTAGAATTTTACATATAGCTGATATCATGTATTACTTTATCATATCTGGTTTTGACACTATTGGATTCAAAAATACTTATTTTTTAGACTTTAATATTTATATTTTTTCAAAAGTTCGGGGTCTGAAAGATTTTGTAATTTTTTTTTAAATGTATTTATTTTATCAAAAATACAGTATAAATGGTAATATTGCAAAATATTATTACAATTTAAAAGAACTGTTTTCTACAAAAGAGGATTAGGGCCAAGCAATAATAATACATTTGAAAAAATCATCTCAAGATTAAAGTCATTATAATGCGAGACTAAACTAGTTACATTTTCAGAAAAAAACCCGAAATTAAATATTGAGAATAAACACACTGGTGTCATGTTCATGTTATCTTGGACGGTGTTAGTCAGTGTCTGCAGCGGTGCAGGTCGTAGAGAGTACTGCTCGTGGATGAAGCATATGCGGTCGAACAGAGTTTGAATCCACCTTTTGCCAAACTCGATCTTTTTTTTTTTCAGCACAAATCACATCGGATGTTATTTACACTGAGTAAAAATAGCGATTCTATTTACGCCATGTAAAAGTAGCAGATCTTTGCAATTTTTCACTTTTGATCAATTTAATGCATCTTCGCTAAGTAAAAGTTCCCAAACTTTAAAATGGTAGTGTTTTAATTAGGCTAAGATTCATGGACAGGTGTGTGTTGACAATAAAATGGCTTGATTTAATTGTTTGTTGCATATGCACAGTATTAATCTTAAGAATAAATCTCTTCATCTTCAAATTGTAGAGATGAATGGTTTAGTTATGTCAAAAAAAGTAAAAAATAAAATAATTAAAGTCTCTTAACATGAACACACATACAGACACACACACACAGCAGTACCTGAAAAGCTCCTGATCAGTGGCAGAGTCTCTGCACCAGCTTTCAGCAGAGCCTAAAACATGACAGAGACGTTTACACTTGCTCTCTCCGAGCAACTTCATCCACCTCTTTTCATTAAATACAAAATCCTCCTCAGCTGTATTTCCCCTGCGAACACTCCACCACATGCACATGTCAGTGTGATGCTCACCTGTGTAGAGAGCACAGTCTCTGTGTGTGTGTTTCTCTGTCCAGTGGATGTTCAGGTTGTGTTCATTACTTATGTCACTGATGGAGCCGGGAGGAAGATCACACAGCTGACAGAGAGAGTTAAAGATCTTGAGACAACAAGGGATGGACTTTTCACTGGAGGAAGCGTTATTATGGATTATGGACTTGTATTTTGGTCACAAGAGATGGTTTAAAGTTAAAATGCTTTGATGAATTTGTTTCTTACAAACACACAGCTTTTCACTTCACAAGATATTAAAGGTGCAATAGGTGATTGTCTTCAGAAACATTTTTTGTTATGCTGGTTGAAAGTCTCTTCACTTCTCGATAGCAATCATTAAGTTAAGTGGTCTAAATGTATTTGTCTGTATTTATATATTCTGCGGAAGGCGCAGGATCAAGAAATGTACGTCCAATCAAAACGCTCGGACCGAGTGTTTTAGTTGGCTTTCCTACCTGCCTGTCAAAGTATGTATTAGCATACCTCTGCGCACCCTAGTCGCGCAGACAGGATACGTCATCAGCGTGTTCATGCACGCTGTGCAGACAGAGACAGAGCGAGAATAGCAGACAAACATCAACAACCCGATCTTCCTTCCTGGTATTGTAGTACTTTTAAGTTTTCTCACTGGTGAATGACACATGATGCAGCCCAGCGGTTCCCAATTCCAGTCCTCGCGCCCCCTGCTCTGCATATTTTGAATGTCTCGCTTAGTTAACACACCCGATTCAGATAACCAGCTCGTTAGAAGTGAGCTACGTGCATGAACTGTGTTCCGATCGATATGATCCCTACACAGTGTTCATTGCTACCTCCTCCCTGAGCGGGGGAAATCTGTTGGGAAGTTTACTTCACTTTGAAACATGGGCTGGAATTGGGAACTGCTGATGTAGCCTATTGTAGTAATGTTGTCTCTGGTCTGTGAGCTTATGTGTTCAGGGGGCGTGGCTTTGGACAGTGATTGCAGGGAGGGTGGGACGTTTTAAGTAAATTTTCAACACATTTTCATTTTTGGATGAACTACTTCTTTAAAGGTGACATATCATGAAAATCTTTTCATGACTTTTCCAGGTTTTAAGTGCTATAATCAGATCCTCGGTGCATCTACCAACCAAGGAAACGTGAAAAAGATTAACCCAGTAACTTTGTTTAGGTAAGCCTTTTTCTGCAAGCGCCTGACAAAACGAGTGCGTCTAATTTCGCTCCCCTAGTGAGGTTGGAAAGGGATCTCATTATAATATTACCGCCCCTTAATCTGTAAGTTTCCACCCACGGCACCGTCATTTTGAGTGAGCAAGTGATGTAATGCTACATTTCTCCAAATCTGATGAAGAAACAAACTCATCTACATCTTGGATGGCCTTAGTTTAAGTAAATTTTCAACACATTTTCATTTTTGGATGAACTACTTCTTTAAAGGTGACATATCATGAAAATCTTTTCATGACTTTTCCAGGTTTTAAGTGCTATAATCAGATCCTCGGTGCATCTACCAACCAAGGAAACGTGAAAAAGATTAACCCAGTAACTTTGTTTAGGTAAGCCTTTTTCTGCAAGCGTCTGAGAAAACGAGTGCGTCTGATTTCACTCCCTTGGTGACGTGGCAAAGGGACCTCATTATAATATTACCGCCCCTTAATCAGTAAGTTTCCACTCACGGCGCCGCTATTGTGTTTTCACAAGCGACAACGGTGTACCAGCTCTAATGCCATGGTGAAAGTTTGAGCAAAACATGTTAACTGTTCTGTCTTTGGCTGCACAGACGAGCACAGAACACTGTTTAGAATCCCAGCCTCAGAGGAGACAAGAAAGCTGTGATTTATTGATTTATTTACTGTATATTGCTGCTGCCACAGATCTAAAATAAACATGCGATTTATTTCCCAGCTGTTTACCTTCACATACATATGTGTGAATGAGAACTTAGTTTAGTACTCACATGCTGTGACAGCCGCTTTCTGTGCGTGTGCTTCGGATGTGTGCGCTCAGAAAACCGTATATCTGAAGTTTAAACTAATATGGTTTAAAACTACCTGATTTCAGCACACTAAACATGATAATCAGAACCAAAACAGATGTTTTTAGCAGGTACGAGCTGTAATGACACAACTCTATTCTGGAAAAGGGGGAGGGGAACAGCAGCTCATTTGCATTTAAAGAAACAGGCACGAAAAACAGTGTGATTCTGCTTCCACTCAAAATAGGCATTTTCAAATTGATATAATAAATTATCTGTGGAGTATTTTGAGCTGAAACTTCACAGACACATTCTGGGGACACCTGAGACTTATATTACATATTGTAAAAAGGGGCATATGTCTCCTTTAAAAAGAAGCACTGGTGAGTAAAGGAGGAAAAATATGAAATATTTGATGTGTTTTGAACGGAAGTGAAGCTGCTTGGAGAGGCTGAAGTGAAGGATACCCAGACAGGACTGTGACGGAAACGCGGGTGGGCGCTTCTCCACTGCACCTGCTGAGGCTGCCCATCCAACACCAACATCAGACCCTCTGACTGAGCCTGAGAGAGAGAGACACTCATTCAGTCGTATTGTGGTTAAACAGTGCAGCTGAACTTCTCTCAGGATTCACTTACATGAACAGGTTTGGAGAAGGCGACAGACACCCTCTCTCCCTCCCGGCTGACATACACACAACTGATCATCTCCTCTCGCTCCGCTACACACACACACAGCATGGGGTGAGCAGAAGTGTCTTCACAAATGCATAGTAATTCTAGACACACACACACTGTATGCATTCACACTCACACACACCTCTGCCCAGCAGCCAGCGGTAGTAGAACCAGGCGCTCTGGTCGTTGGGGTCGGTGAAGAAGGCATTATGCGCCAGCTCATACTCTAGAGAAATAAACACAGAGGATCAAAACAAACAAGTCAGAAATCTTACTACATGGCTCACTCAATTACTTCTGACCGGTCAACTGCGGCAACCTTAGGTCAAATATTTTTGATAACAACATAGCATCCTTAGATGCTTGATTTTGATTGACTTACAAATATTCTGAAGTTATGATTATTGAAGTGATTATTTTTCTAACTGCAAAGATAGAAGAAGGTCCAGGTCTTCTTGACCATATGTTATTTCTAGGAGTCTAACAGCCTACAACAGCAAAAGATCCACAAAAACACAATGACACAGGTCAAGAAAACAAAAATTAAGAAACAATATAATAAAAATGACTATTTCTTTTTTATTGTCTTATAAGATCTATATAAAGTACACAGTCACCTCACATAATACAATTAAAGTTGAACTCAAATCAATATTTAATTTCCCTTTATTTATTTTGTGATGCAGCTGTATGATAAGCAGATGAATGTACAGACAATCTCTGTGTCTGGGTTTATTTTGTCAATCAGATTATAATCTCTTTCATATATAAAATTGCCTTTAAATAAGTACATTTAATTTTAAAGTATATAATTGATTTAATTTAAAAAATAATAATGTTTATTTTTTTCTTTATAAGAATTTATTATTATTATTATTATTATTATTATTATCACTGTTTAAAAGTTTGGGGTCAGTAAGAATTTTTTTTTTAAATAAATTAATTATTACTTTTATTCAGCAAGGATGCATTAGCTTGATCAATTGCCAAAATATTTGTATTTCAAATAAATGTTGTTCTTTTTATCTTTCTATCATCAAGCAACAAAAATATTAAGCAGCACAACTGTTTTAAACAATGAGCACATTTACATGCACACCAATAAGTTGATAACTCACAAATTTCAGCTTATTAAAATAACCAGTTTTCCCCGTTTACATGCACATCAGTAACCTGACAACGAACGCAAGTAAGCCGTGTTTACATGACTTTATTAATAATCAGGTTATTTGACATTACAGGGAAATAACCTGATTATTAATAAAGTCATGTAAACGCGGCTTACTTGCGTTGTAAGACCCTCTGTACTTTGCGTATCTGACTCTGAGTATTCCACATGTTGTCAGTTGTGATGTTAAATAGAGCTTGCACCATGTCATCGGGAAACTTAGGCCTACAGCTCATATATTATCCTTTCATGCAGTTTTTGGACTGAACCACTTCTACTTCTGCTGCACGAGATGAGAACACATATTTATCATTTTCTGGATCATGAAAGAGTCTGTGTTTGTGATGCTTCTTTTTTTACTGCAAAACTCTCACTCTGCCTGGAAGTGCTTAAATCTGCACTAACGATGCATTCCTGTCATGTTTCACACATGCGCACTTCAATAAGCCGACAGAAATGCGTTTACATGCTGCACAAAATCAGGGTAAGAGGCAAAAAACGACCTGTGTCAACTGGTTTATGCTTAGCTTGTTTGTGACCTTACTCTGATAAAAGAAAACGGGTTACCGCGTTTACACGACCACGTGCGTTGTCGGCTTATTGACTATAATCGGCTTAAAAACATGCATGCAAACGCACTCACTGATAATAATCAGATATGTTTCTTGAGCAGCAAATCAGCATATTAGAATGATTTCTGAAGATCATGTGACACTGAAGACTGGAGTAATGATGCTGAAAATTCAGCTTTACATCACAGAAATAAATTACATTTTACATATTTCATTTTAAGTTGTAATATTAAATTTTAAATTGTAACAATATTTCACAATATTACTGTTTTTACTCATTTGTTTATAACTGTACTACTGCTGTGCCCTAAATTCAGAGTTTAAAAAACTGCAGTTGTGAATTATGGAATATAAGCTAAAGCACAATCTCGAGTGCCTTATTGCTTACACTGTATGAACGTCTAAATGAGTTCATGTACCTTTAAGAAGCTGCTCCTCACAGACTCTGTGTGAGTGAAATTGAGGTGAGGTGGTGGGGGAGGGGCTTGCGTTGGGGGCGGAGTCAGGGACAGGCTGTGGGTGGAGCTGAGGAAGCAGCGTGCTCCTGTAATGCCAGCTGGAGTAGTTGGAGAAATTGGAGCCGATCAGATGATCTGTGAACTGCAGCTCCTGCTCGACAGAAACACCAGACTCCTTTACCACCACGCGCCGGTAATCCCAACAGTGGACTGAGGAAAGAAACAGAATCAGACAAAGAGAAATATCAAAAATCTGAAATCTTATATCTATCTTGTTCAGTCCATGACTCTCTCACAGTTGCGCTCGTCCAGGCTGAGGCAGCGGTCGCAGAGGCCGAGCTCTCGTGTCCAGTCAGGCTGCGGCAGGCGCGTGTTTACCCAGCTGCGGTGGTGCCAGCAGCCGTAAGATTTGGGGTTCACTTTCAGACAGGCCTCGATGAAGTGCAGCTCAGACTCATACAGCTTCTGCACCTCGTCCTTCTCTCTAGAGGATGCAGAGAAAAAATATATTACTGTCTTTAAAATGCTCTTTCATGTCATATTTGGTCAGCTGTTGTCATTTTTTATGGCAATTTATTTATTTTTTGACTTTTTTTATTTTTATTTTTTCTTAATGTTAATAAATAGGGTTTACTTTAAACATTACTGCTATGTCCTGACACTAGGATTTTTTTTTACATTAAAAAAGCTGTGAAATATTTCAAAGACCAGTCAGAAATATTTAAACGAGAAAACGTTTTACATAATTTCTGCATTTAAGTAGAAAAACTAATTTTCAGCAAAAAAACAAAATGGATTTACAAATTAATACATATATAAAACATAAATATGGTTCTGTACATAATATAAAAAATATGGTATAAATCTAGTCAATCATTTCATTATATTAGTAAAATATTACAAGACTTAGAATAAAACTAATTTTTAGAAGCCCTGAGCAGAAAGAAAAATCAAGTTGATTTGTTTAATCAAAAAGTTGATCAAATTACTATTTTATTTTTTTATTTATTTGGCATTTAATGCATGTGTGATTTCCATCATATAATTTACATATATATATATATATATATATATATATTATAATAAATGTTAAGTAGAAAAAAGGATTTTGCATTTAATACATGTGTGATTTGCATATCATACATAAAATATTATATAAATCTAGTCACTAAGCATATTATATTGGCAAAATACTAAATACTAAAATATTTAACCAATTCAGTAGATGAAAAATCAGAAACCATTCATTCATTTGAAGTGAACACTAGATTGTCAGCATGCATCAGAAATATGTAAAGAGACAGTACACTGATTTTCTTTTTTTTAGCTGATGGTGCTGACCAATATTGTGTACAGGTGTGCAGCGGCCTCTTACCGTAAGGTCTCCAGGTGTAAGAGCACTTCTCTCCTGTAGTTCCACAGCGTGGCAAAGTCCGGGTTTGAGGACAGGAGCTGCTGAGTCAACTGCAGAGCCTCCTCGTCATGTTCCCCAGCACTCCTCTGAGACAGAGACAGAGAAACTTCAGCCGTTACAGACTTCAGCTCCAAACCTGACCTCACTCGATTCACAACAAACCTTTTTCAGGATGCCATCGCGAGCAGACACATACGCTTTCAACTTTTTCTCTCTCTCTTTCCTCTTCTCCTCCTCCTGCTGCGCGGTTGACTTTATCTTCACACGTCCGTGCTGACAAAAACACAGAAAGAGACAGATGCCTAATATACAGAGAGCAGGCCAGAGGAAACGGCATAATACTGTGACAGAAAGAGCAACTCACCATACTTCACCACTAGATGAAGATCTATAAATAGGAAAACAGTACAGATTCATTTTTATTGATGTGATGAATAAAGTGATACTGTGTGTGCATGTGCTTGAGTGAAGCTCTAGATTGTTTTAAGGTGTAAAGACAGACACACACACACACACACACTCTCTCTCTCTCACACACACACTCACTCACTCACTCACACACT